GAGTTGTTCCGGGGCATCCTCCACTAGCTTGGGAGAGGGCTGGAGGGGCTCCATTTGGCCCGTTGGCTTCACCCATTTGATTAAGCAATTGACCGTTCTCGTGCAATTTCATGGCTACAAAGGTCGTAGACAAAACAGCAAAATATATGCTAGAGTTATAGATCGTCATCAACAAGCACTTTTCTACAGCATTCAGGAACACAAACAAATAGGTGAGGTGAGAGCAATGTGGACAATAACGAGCTCACCGTCTTCGAAATACACCTACTCAAAGCATGTAGTTTAAAAAATTAAATTTAACTGATTGAATATTTCAACCAATCTGTATTTTGAAGTGACCTTAAAAATAGCACGGAAGGACCGTTTGATCTCGTTTGCGAGCAACTATGATATTTTTACGCAGACTTATACCTTCGTATATTTGAGTTGGGAGCTGAACTCCCCACATCAAATCCACATAACCTTAAATGATCAAAAATAAACTCACTTTAAATAACTATACTTCAATATTTTTGATATTTCAAAGTTTCATCCCCTCCGTACTCGTTTGACACATCCAAACACCCAACCTCACCCACCCCCACCCCCCAAAAATTGCAAATAAAATGAATAACAGATTATCAGCTTTTAACATGTCAGAACGCCTAAATTCCTCTTTCAGAACGCATTTGCTTCGATCATCAACCATGCTTCCAGTTGCGAAGACTTTGTGTTACTAAGTAGTAAGACAGAGTTCGGTGGTCGTAGGAACAGAACTGACAACTGCTCCAACCGAGGTGCGCAGGCATGATCCATGTTGTTTCCCACTCTATTAAGAACAAGGTCATGCAGGTGAGAGGGTGGGGCGGATGGTACAACATGAACGATGTGAGTTTGCAGTTTGCCACGTGGCGGCTCGGAACGTTCACCGAAATGAGCGATGGTCCTATGCGCGCTCTCTCTCTCTCTCCACCCACCACCACAAGCACATCCATCATGCTCCTACCCATGGTCAAACAGACACAACAGGGGAATAGTATGGACATCCATCCGGTAGTACCCCATTTCGTACAATGGTGTAAGGGCACATGCATCGGTCGAGCTTGAGCTCTCATTTGTATGCAAACGCGTGCCGCTAATGTTTCGCTTGGTCATGACATCGTTTCTACGTGTTACCTTTTGTGGTTCGAGGGCTATATTTTCTGGAATTTTCCTTACCAGAACAGAGTTGTTTGGTTGTTGGTTGTTTCTACCCCGCCCCGTGCAGTCACTGTGGGTTAAAAGAATGTGCCCACAAGAATTCTATGCGAGTGCGGACAGTTTGGCTTATTTTAGGGGGGGGGGAGTGCATGGATGAGCTGCGAAGGATGTAAAGCTGACCCCACCTGTCTTCGTCTTTCGCCTATCGGTCGAGAAAGACTGAATAAGGACTGTCCAGTAGAAGTTAGACATGACCCCTTTCTATCGAACCACAACGCCACAGCTGATTCAGTGAACCAACCTGACTTGTCTTGATGTTTCCTTCCTCTTGATATGATGAACAAGTGACATGCACCTCCGGGGTAACTAAAGTTGATGGCCTGGGAGACCGGCGTCATCGTGTGAATAGGTCTAAGCCGCCGCCTGGGGGTTCTTCAAATGAGAGGAATGTATGAAGAAGCTAGCTAAAACAGGGGTGGGAAATGGATTCAGCAGTGATGGTCCGTTGTTGTACAAGATGGATGCGATTAGCCGAATGTCTTAAAAAACAAGCAAGTTACAGATGACAAATCTACCCACCGGGTGCCCAAACAACGGTTGTTCATTCGATAGTCGAGTGATTCCGCGATGCCGCCAAACACCCTGAACGAACCCATCAATGCTAAAATGAACAAAGCCCAAAGCTTGACCTCACTGGAATTACGTTCATCTCGTCGACTCCGTAGAATACGCACACACANAGTGTTTGACAAGGAGATGAATGATGAGGATGTGGATTGCAGACCAAATCAGTCTACATTATTCGCTATACAAAAAAACAACCTTGTATTCTCCGGCATCATATAGACGAACGAGGTTTTCATTTTCAACTTCATTGTATATATATATATATATATGTATATATAAATATATAATATTACTCATTCTCTGATCTTCTTCAATGTTTCACTAGTTATCACCCCTCCACACAATTTACTATCATTCCTACATTGTTATTTAGCTGCGTTCACTTATCGTCATTCTAAATCAGGCCCATGACTCACAGTGGGCCGGGTCGTGTTAATCTGACGGGTTTGCTGATCGATCTGAAATAACTTACTGATTTAAAGTGAGTGAGGTTATCTTGTCCAATAACACCAAACTGAGAGGTTGCTTCACCGTACAGGCACCATTCGGATTTTATTTTGGTTCCTCGATAACTACTATCTCCATCTCAATCTGATGGGCCTAAGTGAAAAACGACTGAAAAATATTCATGTCAATTTTAGAGATTTATTGCCGTCACGGTCATTCAACCTGACCGAATACACCGAAACGGTGGGGATGCATGCAACAAATTCGTCCCATTCCTCCGATTTCCATTGATGAGTTAGGTCTATGGAACTTTGTGCTCGGTGCGCGCTTTCGACACATGAGCTCACACATCGAGCGATTGTGTTATTCATCCCGTCCCTCCTTAACTGCAGATGTCCAACATAAATGAGCCGATAAAACGCTTTTAAAAGCTGCATCATCCTATCACACACTTGATTTTTTTCATTACAGTGCTTATTGCGTGGTCTGATCAGGTGGATTTTACGTGTCTTGGTTCCCTAAAGGAGAGATTGTCTTTCTTAAAACCTAATATGACAAGATATCCAAATACTGCTGAAAAGTCAGCCAGCACTACCCGTACAATGCAGCAACTAAGTCCATTGGAAAACTTGCTTCATACAGATAGCAAGTTAGCTGGTGAATAGAAGTGTAGCTCACACTGACCTCGTAAAATATCATGCTTTTAATGATTCACTTGCCACGAAACAGTCTATGAGTAGTTATTCCATCAAAGGCTCTAGCACCTCCTCTGTTCTTGTATTCAATTTAGGGGAGCATCACGATCGGAAGTATCTTGTGTGGCATGACCGTATCAGGAATTATGCTCAAATTTGTATGCTTGAAAATCGAAACATGTACTAATCAAGATTGCGCTGGAGATCAGATTTTTGCAGACCGAAATACGGTAATGCTTGCGCGAAACAAATATCGGGGAGGATACGTTCCGCCATATGGATCACATCAAATGGAAATTTGGAAGAGAATCTCAACTATATCACAAACCCGATGTATTTATTTGTGCCGCAAATTCCCGGTTCGTATTGGAATTCCGGTCACAGACAAACGAGACAGAACACGCGATGAAATATTGGCTTGCTCTAACAATCGATAACTTATATGATGTTTGTGTGACCTTTATGTTGTAACACGGAAAGCATCATTGCCCACATCAAAACATCTCGGGTTGTGTGAAAATACCATTCACCGAGATTGTTGGAAAGCGGTGGGCGAGGTTCGTGTGATGCGCTGGGGGATGGGTGGGTTTGAAACTATCTTAGGCTCGATAACATTATCATTATTTGCTACACCGGAGGTCCGATCACCAAAGCTACTGTCGCTGTTGTTCCTCTTGCTGCTGCCGCTGCTGATTCGGTTACTGCAACTTTGTGGTAAAAGTAAACTGTGATAGATGAGTGCAAAAGGTCCCAACCTCATCTGTCGAAATTTTCTATCTCGATCGACTTCAAGGGTTAAAAACAGCACAAAACACATATATAAAGAGTATTTCATCCTGAAACATGAAAATATCACGCGAAGAAAACAAACGAGGAGAGACCGGAGGGGAAAAACTTTCCGGATTGCAAGAGTGATAGGGGAAATCATAAATTATATATCAGTGACATCAGTAGAATGACGAACGAGATACACAGGGTAAGTAAGATGCCCGTGTGTGTATGCGTGTGCGTGTGTGTAAATGTGTGTACCCGTGCTCGTATGTGTGTGTACGTTTACGCGTACGCTGTGCTTTATTTGTCTGTGGTCAGTCTTTGCACAAGTTGACTGCTTTTGGACATGGGCAAGCATTCGCGCGTGCCGACCCGTGTATACACGCCAACGTGGTGTCTTTAGTTTGCATCTCAAATTCGACCAGGACACGGACGCGGACAACAACAACAACAACAACAACAACAACCAAGTAGGAAAGGAGCGTGCTGGTCACACGAAAAGGGTGTGTGTACCTATGAGATCGCGTCAAAAGAAAAGTTGATTGCCCTTTAATGAGGCTATCAGGCTGATTGAGATCTGCACACCGACATAGGATGTGTGTGCTTGTGTGCAGGCGCGCAGTACCGCGGGCAGAGTGAGCACTGGGTGAGAGTACAGCGGACGGGCGAGCGCGCATCAATCACGAAACGAAACCAATTACCAAGCGCACCAATTTGTCTATGCGCTTCCACATACACTAGCCGATCGGCGTAGATATGACCTATGATCTATCCGAAAGATAAATGGACTAAAATGTTGTTGGGTAAGGCACATATAGGAATGAATTGAATGCACCATAGTATGTGGAAGAGGCGCGATGAGTGAAGGGAGAGAAAAAAAACTATTTAGCTGCAATTACGCGGTGTTTCGATGAGAAAGCTGTGGCACAAGGAGAGATTTACAATCCCGGACGGGATGGGGGGGGGCTATTTAAGAGACAATGAAGTACCTGGTTGCATGTTCCCTTTTACCATTTCGCTTCCTTCAAGATGTCGTGTGCTGCGTTCTTCTCCTCTCCTTCAATTTCATTCTAAAAATCTCAAGAGTATTACTTATCCTAAACCGAATCCTGTCTCGGTTGTTAGTCAAGAATGTACTCGTATACACATACACACACACAAAAGCACTACGTCTGTGTGTGCATCACATATTGTACTATTTTGTGATAATTATAACTCGGCATATTTCGATATCTATTTTTTACTCTCAGCAATCAGTTCAAAGAGGGATAGGAAAAGATTGTTATGCACGAAAGTTGGGAACTAATGGGACAGCGGTAATAGGACAAGAGCTATAAGGAGAGGAAATGATTTATGGGTCTGATTGATACACATGCGGATCAGGCCAAGGCAAACACGAGAAAACATGCTATCCATAAACTCCGCCAAATGCTTTCGGATTCTGTCATTTTTGTTGCATCTTCTTGTTGGTGCCGTTGTTCTTGTTGTTGTTGCTGCTGCTGCTGTAGCTGGTGGTAGTGATGGTGGTGGTGGTGGTAGTAGCGGAGGTCGAGTGAGGCCGTTAAAATTAATGCTGGAATAGAGTGAACCAATGCACACCGGACGTAATCTCACGCCGTCACGGGGAGTAATTGCATTTCCTATTATTCCGGAGGGACAATGTGTGTGTATGTGAGAGAGAGAGTGTGCTGACCGTGCGGCAGTCCGTAGGCCGCAGTCACTCGTAAGTAAAGCTCATTCAGCTGGACTCAGACGGCGTATGAGAGAAGTTCGGGAACGAGTGAGTGCGTAAGTATTATTCTGTGCGTGCGTACGTATGTGTTTCATATGTCCCATGGTAAATTACTGAACACAGTCTAATGTAGTGAACAAAACGGAACCCAGTAAAACACGCCTCACTGCTCTCACGGTATGTAGGCACGTAAATGAATGAATTAACTGGAGCAAGCATGGGCCCGCATAATCAAGCAAAAGACCCAGGAAACAGCTGAAAATGATTTGCTGGAAAAATGAATCTGATAGTGAATCCCTGCAGAGCTCATTACTCGCTTGTCCGAAATTCGGTTACGGGGTTGATCGTGTGCTGCCGGCGCAGTTGGTTTGTAACGGTCAAAATACTCAAAAATGTCCAAGATTGAAGACGGAGAGGAAAGCAACAACTGCAGCAATAAAAAATGTGGCATTTTGAACTGAGAATCCGTTCATGTTGAAAATGTCTGCTCATGGTGGCGCAGTATGGTGGAATAATTTGTTATGTTTGTGACGGTACTGGAAGGTAGTTTATTTTCGGAAACAATCGCCCTGAAGGTCAGCTTAGCGGTAATGCTACTCATATTATCATTTATAGTACCACTTTTAGACTCATGCAACTCATCTTTGTGCATCGAACTGAAATAAGTTCAGGAACATAGGAAGTCGAGTTGTGAGAGCAGCCAATCAACAGGAGTAAAAATGCACATGACTTCTGCCGGAATGCGCACCAATGTCCGTAGCATTATGTTTCCCCATGTTCGGTCGGGCACTACAGGATGATCCCAACTACTAATCGAGTTCCTTTCGGACACGGCAAGCACTGCATTGGACGATATATATATATTCCATTATATGTTAGTGCAAATCAACCTCTCTGGGAGAATCGATGGATTTCGCTGCTTCCCTACAGGTTCCTTCTGAAGAAAGAGGTGATGTAGAGTAGGCTCATTTCAGACGAAATCAGTAGCACGCGTCACAAGGACTCAGGAACTCGTCATGAGACTAGAACAGTTTACGGTTTCCGAGGATGAGTGGAGTAGCAGCTGACTCATTCAGAGTAGTGAGTACCATGAACGTAATGCAATTTAGATCACACGAAGAGATGGTAAGCCGCTCTGAAAACAAGAAATTCGTTTTTATTAAAAACTAGTTTTAAGGCATAAGACAACTAGTGTTCACTGTCGATTAATGGACAATTTAACATATATCAATGCCATCCCCATTAGTCTTGTCTATTGAAGAACAATGTGAAAGTGGGAGAAGAGAATATAGAAAGAAAAACAATAAAAACAAACCCAAACGAGTAAAACATTCACAAACAGCAATAAAAGAAAACAGATAGGAGAAGAAGGAAGGAGAAATCTCACCTTTTCGTGTGCGTTTCCGTCTGGTTCGAACCATCCGCATGCTACAGAACACGGTCAACCCGATAATTAAGCCCAAGTAGGCCACAGCACAACCGACCACTGTCAGAATCGTCTTCATCATACTGGAACCGGGGCCCTCTTCTCCTAGTTGGCGACGCGTGTATTCCTCCGGGGCTGTGATAGGAAAATATACAGAAACAATGGGTCAATTTTCCGGAATGAGGTTAGTATATTTGGGTTGAAAAAAGACTCCAAAAAGGCGAGGTGTTATCTTACTGTCGGTGATTAGAAATTGACGATATTTAGATCACAACATCCCGCTCACCAACTTAGTCACCGAGGGTAAGCGCCTAGGTATATCGATCAGTTTTGAGTGGGAGAGGCAACGATGGAAAGAGACTCGTTGATAGCTCTAAGACAGAAAGCGATGCTCTTCATAATTATAAAGCTTCTGTAACAAATCTGGAGTCACTGCTTCTTCTTCCATTAAGCAGTTAACGGCTTGATAAAGTAAGTCATTTTCCAGTGCAATACTTCAAGTCACTATTGGGCATGATGATTAAAAGTGCGTACACAGAGAAAGAACTCTTATTGAGTCGCCGTACATCTACAAATATTCAGAAAGATCGACCACTATCGGAATAAATTTTGGTAGTGAAGGTGCAGGTTAGTCAGAGGCTGAAAGAAGCCGTGATAAAGATAAGAGACAACTTTTGATAGCAATCTTTGTGAAAATATCTGGTGAAAACAAACAGCTCTAATGCACGGAGATGAAATATCGGTTACTTGAAGTTATTTTTATGTTATTGGTGATTTTGCTCCGGCCAACTTTATTATTCGTTTCTTCGTTAAATACGGCAATTTAACAGTGGGTTTTTTGTGAGCACCGAATTTATTTGCTTTGCTCCACCAATGATGCACGAAATGTGCCGAGGCAAAGTTTTGTTGGACGGTGTTCTGATTTTAACTTTTAATCTTCCGATCAATCCGAATCTCTGTCTTGGACCCCGGCAACAGATATGCACGTTTATCACTCTACCAAGTAAACTAAAGGAGGTTTTGGTACGAACCTTGCACGAGAGAATCTTCTTCCTCTTTACTCTCATCCACTGAGACACGCATCTGGTAGTTCACTTACACACCTTAGTCAAGAAATTTGACTGATTTATATAGGCAAGTTAGAGCCACTTAACAACGAAATGAATTCGATAATTTTGCACAATCAAAGACCACAGATGTGCGTCTTCGCAAATTGGTATCATTGCATCGAGAAAAAGTGCTAACGCCACATCTTGCAATGTTGAACTTTCTCGACACTATCGTATAGATGAGTTTCACAGGAGGAAGTAATGAACACAGGATGCTCTGCAGCATAATGGGAAAATAGTCATAATGGATTTATAACCAAACGATAGATGGGAAATTGAGAGGAGAAATGAGCTCAAGCAAGGTCGATTAGTGCTCCCTAAAGCAATAGATAAAAACAGGAACTCCATTATATCTGAGGCTTTTGTAAATCGTTTTTAAGCAATCTATCAGCAAAATACAATACAATACAAGTATTGGAGAAATGTTATACTTTCAAATAGAAATCAGAATTTGCGTTAGGGAGTGTTATGCGTGCCCCTCTGCATGAACAAAAATGAGATGAGCACATGCGGGAAGGATCAATTAACTGAGAGCTACAAATGACCAGAGACAGGACTAGAAGGAAAGGTGAGAACTACACAGACCACAAAGGACAGGAATAAACTAATAACGAATACAAATAGGTCACGTCGTACTACTCTATGAAAAGCATACTGACTTGATGCGAGCACGAATAGAATGGATAAGAAGGGGAGGGGTCGGTGAATGAGAAAGACCACTCCGCGTTACACAAGCTTGCATCAAAATGGGCGTTCACAAACCTAGAGACTGTGGTTCTCGGTGCGTAACATCAACCAACAGACGGCCTGGAAAAGCGATTGGAACCGTGTCAAAGCTTTTGCGGACCGCAAGATGAATGCGAATAAATTATGTATGGTCTACTTCTACGTATGTGTATCTGTGTGCATACGTACATTGCACAGTCCATAGCAAAGGTCATTCGCGATGTGAACCAGTCAGCCTGGCAGACCAACAAGATGGTGCGCGGGGATGGGGTGAGGGAGCTATGAACCGACTGGACAAAGCGAATGACCGCCAGAAATTTTGTTCCGGTCTCCCAACTCCCTTTTACGCTCCCTCTATTTAAGTTGGGTTTTTTTGGATTGCTTGCTTGCTTGCCTGCCGGCCTGCTTGTTTGCTGTCGGCACACATTAATCAAAAATCCTACTGCATCGGGGCGTTTTTGTTCGTACCCCGGAACTTGGTGTGTCGATGTGCGTCGATGTAGATGTGTTGGCAAACTTTCTCTCCATTTCGAAACACCAAATGCCCATCGGACGGCATAGACCTAACTTGACAAGACGCCCCTCGTCGCTCCGGTCTGCGCTCTGACCAGAGCGCCGNCCGTTGCGATCCGCTTTGCCCCATTGAGGACGACGGCAGTTTGGAAAGAAAAGAGGGAATGGAATTGCACTCGATTTGAAGGTTTTAGAAACTCCACCCTTGATTCCATTCACTCGCCACCCTAATTTTGTTTCCTGATTCGTTGTGCACCAACCGACCGTTACCTGACCGCCACGTGCCCACTGGATATTCATGCACAACCTTAACATACACAAACGAACAAACAACAAACATCACTCCATCACCCCCTAATAGAAATGACCATTTCTCGCGTTCTGTTCCGGGCGTAAATTCTCGATATGCGAAGGAGGTCCTAAAGGTCTGCGGCAGGCTGACATTAGGGTAAAAATAATGCTTACTGCACGCACGCACACTGGCATACACACACACACACATGTAAACTTGCACGTATACGCGTCTGTATAATCATGCGTATGTCAAATGGAGCGGTAAGTATACCAAATAGTGTTAGTAGCCCACAGCACCATACCCTGACAGAGTGATTCTATCCCACAGGAGAGTTCTTTTCCATCATCCTGTTTGGGTTCAGTGCGAAACAAGGACGAAGATGAGTAAGAGTTCCGATGGTTTTCCCTCTCGATCAGATGGCGTCAGAGCAGGCCTAGCAACTTGGCATTTGACTACGACTTTTTTGTCTAAAAATGACTAGTCTCTTTGTAATGGACACACACGCACACGCACACATACACAAAAACACCGCCAACATCTATCTTGGTGAGTCAAAGACTCTCGAAAAGAAGGGGATAAATATTTGATTTACTTAGACCGTCAACTATTTCAAACGAATTGCAGTCAGATGTTGTATCTGGCATTGCCTCATAAGAAAGCCACAAAGCAGTACATATTACACCAAGGCTCGAGGTAATTAAATAGTCTCTGATCCTCTTTTTAATGTACTATTCGAGTAGATTTTCATTCACTTCAAACAGCCTATGATAGGATATTGAACAAGTTGTTGAATTTATGATTAAAGAAGTCGACCAACAATCGACTTCATCATGGAACACAACTGTACATTATGGTAAGGGGAAGCAGAGAGTCTGAAGATCACAAGCACTATCGACAATGTTTATTCTGAAGTTTGATCTATCAGACCAGAAGAGGAATTGCTTTAGGAAGTATATGACAATCACCGGGGCCAAAATATAAGCGGTCACATTGAGTGAATTAAGCAACTTCATTACCGTGTATGTATTCTCAATGATTCTGGTCTAATTTTGTAGTCAAAATATTGATCAAGTTTGAGGGGCTTTTCATTAATTTCCCGGAATCAACCATAAAAGTGAACTTGTGTGGCTGACGACCATCCAGCATCACTCTCGAGGATTTGAGACATCACTGTTTTGTCGTACATATGAATATATGTATCACTATAATCAAGTTCTTTTCCAATCTTAGAGACTGGAGCTTTGGTTTTTCATAACACACAACCTCTGGATATACTTCTGGATTAATTACGGTGATCTCAATGATAACCTACAACGCGCTCAATTGAATTTCCTTACCAGTATCCGAGGAATATATCAACGAACCGTCCTTACATGCTTTTTCTGGTTTTGTGAGAAATAAGGTCAAAGGGATCATCAAGAATTCACATGGCAAACAGAAAAAAAACATCGCGCTGGCTGGAAAGTTGCACTTGAGCACCGAGACCTGAAGAGCATTGGTTTCCTGATCATTTTGTCGTCCAATGACAACGCAATTCTTTCTAAGCTATCGGACATCGGTCTTCTGATTCACTACGGTGAGCATTCCAAAAGTTGTGTGCTACTTCTCCAAGAATCTTGGTTACAATAATCCGTCGAGGCCGAATTGGTGCATATCGAAGGCTTCCAATTATTTCGAGCAGATAGACCTCAAGGACTGAAAACTAAGGGTGGAGGCGTCATCACTTGTGTGCGCCGGTCGTGGTGTAACTTCACCAAATGCATATTTACTCACTGCACACAAAACATTTCTTGTGTTTCTGTAGAATGTAAACCACGCTTTCTCCTGCGTCACTCTTTGATCATCTTTTTAAACCTATACATCACTCCTGAGTGTACTCCTAGTGAGTTGTCTACCTTCCTGGATGTATTCTATCCAATCATGTTGGATAAATCTGTCACATCTGTATTTATCGTTGCTGGCGATTGTGTGAGTGAGTTTTTGCACACTTAAGTCCCTTCGGAATAGTGTTACTTTTTCCACTCGAAATGATGCCTCCTTGGACCACTTTTTCGTTAACGAACCATCTTTTTCCGTGCCTTCAAACGTGCACCAGTGGGCAATTCCGATCACTGTCTGAATAAAGTTTTACCTACAATATAAGGTAAATGCAAGCAACAAATCCTGATGAAGAACGATGCACGTACGATAAGTTTACCACAAAATCATCTGACTAATTTGATGAAGTTAAAATCCATGGTTGGCGGTACGGACTTATGACAACTCTTCGATCCCGATATTTCAGTCTTCTGTGAGAACCTCACCAATTACCTCAACTATTTTTATGATGCGTGCTGCCCTCAGGAAAAGATTCATCTACAGCCCAACCGATTCATCTCCGATAGACTGCAATGGTTACGAAGGCTGAAATAAAGGGCGTATCGCTCGAGAGATAAACTGACGGTCAAATCTGTCAACTTTCACATCAGAAGCGAGATAGCACATCTTAAACAATTGTATGCTGACACCGTGCTAGGAACGGACTGAAATTGCTCTGGGGTCGTTCAACTTTACTTATTACAGTCTCATGTGATATCAATAAGCTCAAGAAATCATTTGCTTCAGTGAAAAACCTTGTGCAAGCTCTACCGAGTCCAAACACAACGTCACTTGATTTCCACCTTCCTGTGTCTGTCACAATAGAGCTAGTTTTAAAGGAGTTAAGTGCTATGAATGGAAATAAATCAGCTGGTCCTGATGGTTATCCCCAGTGGTCCTAAAAACATGTGCAAACCACCTCGCACTTATCGTTCCATTTATCTTTACTATACGTCTGTCAGAAGGAAGAATAGTTTACACATGGCGTGAAGTGCGCATCACTCCAGTACCTAAGAAAGAAAAGAGTAAATCTCCGCCTATTGCCTCATCTTCAAAATTACTTAAGAATTTTGAGCGTATTATTATTAAGCACCTATCCTCTAATCTTGATTCTAGTGATTACAGTAAGTTTGCTTATTGTAGGCGTCGCTCTACTTTATATGCGGTTGATTGTTTTATACATTCTATTTTATCCACTATAGACCAAAAACAAAATTGTTCACGTTTGTTTCTTGTAATACACAAACGCGTTTGACTTTGTCGATCGAAACATTCTATTGACACTGTTACGGCTAAACAATCTCCCGCCAAATCTTTTGAATTTGATGAACGACTATTTTACCGACCGACGTCAATTCACTTGTCTCAATGGTACTAGGTCTTTTACTGTTACTGTAAACCAGGGTGTAATGCAGGGTGCAATTTTATCCCCTTTTCTGTTCTCCTTTTATATCCAAAATTTGCCAGTCACCCCAAATGTTTTCACTTTAAATATGCCGATGACCTTGTAGTTGGTGGCGCATCTCACAACAACAACAACCCTTCAACTAAGCCCCTTCAATCAGCCATAAGTTTCATTTCTTAATGGTCCGATGGTGTTAACCTTTCTTTAAACCCCAATAATTTCATTGAAGTTTTGTTTTCCATTGATCATAAGCCATCAACTCTTTCTGGATCATCTGTTGGCAATATCTTGGTCAATAACTTAAAAGTTGAAAGGTCAAAACACTTTAAATATCTTGGATGTTTCGTGTCTGCTGACCTCAAATAGTTCTATCACGTAGAACAAACATTTCTTAAAGACAGAAAGTTGACCTTTTATATTTCACGCCTTCTGCATCTGAGGGTACCATTGTACATCATCTCCAAATTTATTTTCTCATGCGTTTTATGCCATTGGACCTACTGCTCTCCCGTTATCTTTACCGGTCTATTGTCTAAGGACTTCATATTAATTATACGCTCTCTGAAAATCAGCTCTAGATATGGAGCTGTATCTTATGAGGAGTTGGTTGATTCCATTGTCAACCAACACCTGAATTCTTGTGACCGTCTGTGTGACTCCATCTTGTCCGATGCGTCACATCCCTTACACACAACTCTGTCTAGCTCCATTTTAACTTCTATAACCCGTTATAAATTTAAACCTTTATATACTCGTGCCACTGCTTTTCACAACTCCGTTGTACCTTACCTTTAACGTGTGTTGGTTTCTAGGGGGCTTATATCAAACGAATTTATACATAGTTCAATGTAAAGTTCCACGTTAACGTTTTCCTTATTTTTTTACGCGTTCTCGGTGTCCTATTCATTATCATCTCAGTAACTATTTGTCATATCTAAAAGCCAATTTTTAATAGTGCAATGCCAAAGCAAAAGCAATAACATTCTTTTCACTGAAAATTCTGTCCACATTGGATGAATAAAGTGCGCTGTTGACTTGACTTGAAATAAAAAACGAATAGTGTTGCCTTCATTGATTCAAGTGGAAATTGTTGACTTTCAAAATCTCGGTTGATTTTGTTTAGAGTGAAAGATGAAATTTTGCCAAAATTCGAATTCCTATCCAGACCATTCATAGTCAATCGAGAGTGTTTAGCGTTTTCTTTTTCAGAGTGCAAATCCGTGCTAAAATGAATGTTGATTAGGGTAGCTTAACAAAATCAGCTAGGTTTATTCCGATTTAGTCCTATCAATTGTGATCTCACAAAGTACAAAATGACTTCTTCGTTTTGTTTTTTGTCTATCTCACGGATTGCCTTAGATGCACTTTGTTCCGGAAGAGAACCGCCAATTTACCTCCCTTCCCTGAACTTGTGTGTCAATTGAGAAGTTGAGTACTCTTAATACTGGCCAAACAAGCTCCAATGCAAAATTCTCTCCCACGCAACTTCGCAACACGAACAGTGGTTTTGTCTGCGTAAAATGCGTTATTGAATTACCGCAAACTTAGTCCTCCGGAAGCAAGATGCTGTTGATAACTCCCGACCTAATGTCGATTATGCGCAGCAAATAGTTATCCAATCTGAGCCTTAAGAAAGGGCAGTATGGGTAGAATGAATAAAAAACAACCCTTTCTCTTTCCAAAGCGTTTTATCAATCGTGTTGGTTCAATCAAGTGATACAATTGAATCTGAACTGCTGAAGTTAGATGCAGGATATGAAGGAGAAGAAGAAGCTGAATCAGATGCTTAAATTTCACCCAACATATTGCTTTCCATGGCCTATTCTGATCAGGATTTCTTATGCTTGTTCCTTTAGAGAATTTATCCGAGTGTGATGTTTCATTGGCGGGTCACGATTGGAAGGCGAGCGGCAACAAAATCTTAACCTAGTCTGAAGGTATGAAGCGCTTGGCGCTTGCCCATGTGGGTGGCATTTGGACTCTGGGTCGACTTTCCCCAAAGTGACCTTATGATGTTTTGAGGATATTGAATTAAATCTTTAGACCGCCCGTTTCACTCCCTTTCATTAAATACTTAAATATTAAACTTTCAGAAAGAATTTGGGCTGTAGACATTGTTTACTAACTGGGGGCATACATTTTAGGGAATAGTTAGGTGGTTTTGGTGGGATTCCAACACGTCCACCGGCGCGATAAGTTAGAACTTTTACCGCTTGACGAAAGCAATTATGTTTAATCGCATGCCTTATGAAAGTAATTATCTCATACATCTTTTCTTGCATTTGTTTTTCTTGTTTTCGTGATCGGATGACCAAAAGACAGCAAAAGAACACGTAAATGAAGGATAAATAAGTATAAAAAACAAACATACGAACCAATTGAATATCAAGATGTGCTTACTCAGGACGCGTACGAACACCCCCTGTCGCGTTTTGATCGCATGTTTATTCCCCGCCACACAAATATATTCTGTTTGATCAATCAAATAAGCTTGACTAATCACAAGACTACCGTTCTGATAGGCTGTCACACGTCCTTGTTCCGGTGGAAGATGTCTGGCAATCGCTGCCACCATGCTTCCCGGATTGGCTGCTGGATTGAGTAACGATGGTGGTGGTTGTGCTTGTGGCGGAACGTGTTGTTGCTGTTGCCCGGATGTTTGTTGGCCGGCAGCAGCTCCAGCACCGCTACCACCACCGGCCACCGTATCGGTATCGGCTTCATCTCCGGCAATCTGAGAATCACCAAGGTTATTGATTTGGGTCTCAGCATGATCTCCACCAGATGCACCACCCGAATTCGCCGATCCAGAAGTTGGCTCTGGAACTGGGGTATAGACTTGGGACATTTTGTGCCCGGCTTGTTTCACAATCCAGCTCACTTGGGGGGCAGGATCACCGGAAGCGTGGCAATTGAGGATAAGTTGCATCCCCACACGTACCGTCTGATTAGGACTGATTTGAGAGATCAGTGGCTTTTCTGAATTGGAAACGAAGTAAAAGAAAGGAAAGAATGCGTTTGAGAGTGTATAAGTGTTATTAGTTGAAAGATATGTGAACAACCTGGAATCCGTGTTCAGCTCTCATTAAAAACAGAACCAAATGAGTAGATGTTAAGAGAGCGGCAAACGGATCACACAGTGGCACATTAGTTGCTCAAATTACTTAAAAATATGTATTACGTATCGCAAAGACAGTGAAGGAATCAACTACTTCCTTTGGTTCATTCGCAAAACTCCGTGTCAACACAAGTCAAAGCGTAGTTTATGACGGGTTTTACGCTAGAAAGATAACGTGTAAATGATAGAATCAGAGAGTTAAATTCATTGAATCTGAAAACATTTGTTCGCCAAGTCACGATCGATTTATCCACAAGATGTGCCTAGGGGAAGTTTCTGGTTTTACAGTGAACACATGACCACACGAACCAAGGTGAGCAAATCTGAGTAGTATTGCCGGTTTCTGCATCATTTACGCACGACTTTAGGTCTTTCTAAGGCGTGACTGACAGACTACCGTAGGCGAGTTCACATCCACCGGACACTATGATTATGTTTTGCATCAGGAGCATTCATGTGTGCTTAACCCCTGGGAATCCATCTCACGAGAAATGACTGCAGTGATCATCAAAGAACAGTGTAGTTTTGTAGTCAGTGTTCCGGCTTTCAACCCAAGATGAGCTTTACTTGCACCGAACAAGTGTCTACAGTTAGTAGTTCACAAACGTTTATGGCAATTCAAAAGGTTGCTGGGGGGTCCCAAGATAGATGTCACAGGGTGCACAGTGCTCCTTATCGATCATCATAACGCGGTCGTACGGAGAAATGCTCTCACTATTGAACTAAAAACAATCATCGGAACACCGTGAAACTGGCAATCACTCAGCTACAGAGTGTCATTCAAACTTCCTTCATCAGCGGTACTGATTACCGATGTCGGATTTCTTTATTAAGATTACAAATTACACAACCATTGTAACCAAGTTAATAGGTACTGGTAAACTGATAACTATACAATGATATGATCAGAAGCGACAGTCAATCAATGGAAGTGAATAACAATTATAGTTGGACTGATCTGATTGCTGATCAAGTTGATAGCAGTAACAATTGATCTCGAGTATACCGAATGACTGTTTTCCCGAAATAGTGATTGGTTCCGTCGATGAGGAGGGAATAGAACGATGTTTTACTTGATTTGTTTGAATATACGGCGAAAAAAATCAATTTTCACGAGTGGAAGGCGGATTATCAGACTGGTTCTTGCTGTGGAATATAATGAAGCACGCAAGTTCAGCTACAGCCGTAAGACAAGAACTCATGATCCCCGGAATGGCGTGATGCTTCCCTAGATCACTCGACTAATGCTGTTTGCGAACTAGCAATATTGATATTTCAGGCTGATATGTGGCGCAGAAGCAGTTTCTGAGTAATTATTCTCTCACCGCATTGCTCAACAGACATAAATCATCATTTTAGTTCTTCTCATTTGTTCTGCTCCACTACCCAGTTGACGTCAGTGACATCGCCTATATGGAACAGAAAGACGACGTGCGATTGGTGAGCAAAAGAGGCACAGAAAGATAAGAAAGCTATGGTTGAAGACAAGGAGTGAAGAGTTTGCGGAAACTATGAGCAATCGAATACGATAACTGGTTATGAGACCAAGAATACGTGAGCAGTGTTTATTGTGTTGTCTGATCCAAAAGTAATCCCCAAATCTATTCGTGTTGATTCCATAATTGGAAAGTATGGTTGAGGACTGTTCTGGAAAACACGACTGAGTAAGTTGGTCAGGTCCATCTATCAAAGTGTATTCGTAAAGTAAAACCAACGTGGTGAAAAACCTTGTAAGCACTTAACAGCTGATTAATCCTTATTAAGAATCAGCAACAGCAGCAGCACATATTCACTGAATTCACTAAGATACGAAACAGGACACGAGGAGACTTTTAGTCCGACGCGATAACCCCATTAGGCTATCTGGGCTAGATCCCAGTAACTGGTTGTGCATCAACCCTACTTGATGGAGCACTCATGTGTCACCATCCTCTAAAGTATCGGATCTTAACCAGACGACTGTGGTCAACGTTTAATTAAATAAATGAATACAACCTAAAATTAAAATTCAAGTGACTTGTGCACCAGTGAGCCATAATAATCACACAAAAAACTAATTTTAGGGTTCTTCTTCAGTGGAAGATTCCCAGACTTTCAGGGGAACCAAAGTGGAAACAAAGCAATGAAAATCGTTCGATCAATGAGTACATCTTATCTCAAATCAATTGAGACAGTGCTATCTAAAGTTCATATGCGAATACCAGACGGGGTAATATGGTGTAACAATGGCGATACAAATTGTCGAAAGATCACGTAGGATAATGTGCGTAAACTTTAAAATATATGGAATGGATTAAAGGCACAAAGAACCAAATTATTAATAAATCCGACTATAACGTTTGCGATTTAAAATATCCGGATAGCAACCTAGATTTTCCAGCAGTCAATTCAAAATGTCCCAGTACCAGTTCGACTTATTCTGTTACTGTGTGCACAGTGTCTTGCGCAGCACTATGATCAATATCTGAACCAACACAAACCAGGACTCGGAAGATATGCTGCAACCTAACTCATTAAACATAACACCGTTTAGCCCATAGCAATGTCATTCGCTCGATTTATAGAGAGCTTGCACAAGCCGCTCTTAAAATAATATCCGAACATCTTAAAATGACATTCGGTCAACTTGAATTGCAGAAGGTATAGTTACTGTCTGGGGGGAAAGTAACTCATGCTCGTTCTCATTATTGAGTTGGGTGACCTGATATCCCCTCCTTTGTATCATATCACTAAGTTCTATAGTCCCTATGCCAATCCGACTTTCCGATTCTATATCCTGAGTTGAAGTGCTCAGATGCCTAAGCTTCACAGGGCGAAACAAAGTGCCCGTTCGGTCTAAAGCACTTGTCGCATACCACTTTGGTGATGGCGACGATGGTGGCCGAGTAGATTAAAACGTTGATATTGATATAGTTCGGGTCTTGAACTACAGGATTCTAATCGCACTGAGGGGAATTAAATTTGGTGGTTGGAGTAGTGGTGCATGGAAGATAACTTGTTCTTATCATTACTACGAAGGATCAATGATCAATCAGCATGATTGTTTTAGAAAGAACGGACAGAAAGTGAAAGAGGACTGTGTGCTGGCCCGGTTGTGTGAAATTAGGTTAAATTCACTTGAAACACGAACGACAGATCGTGTCAGATCTATGGTTCAAGCCCGATTCTATTCATCGCATCACTCACTGATCAATAAACCGATCAATGAAGTCGAACGTCAAAAACGTGACCATTGTGGTAGTAGTAGTAGTAGTAGTAGTGGTTCCCGAAACACATGCAACATCTTGACCGAGCGCAGATTGGAAGACTGTGAAGCTTACCTGTGCTTGCATTGTGTGCGTGGACGTGTACGCGCGAGAACGCGCGCGTATGTGTGTGTGTGTGTTCAATCGCAAACGGTGACCCGATCTCTCATTTGTTCACCGCTCGCCTGTGCACCCGTCCGTTTGGTATAGCACGCGATAAACAAACCTTGTGAAGCATAAATCACCACCGCACTACTACTTGAGGACTATGCAACTACCCACGAGCGTGGGTAGTTGAATGGACCGACATGCGGGGAGTAACAGCAGCAACGGCAACAGCATCAGAGGGGGTGAGCGAGGCAAGACTTACGAAAAGAATGGCTGGACCCAGGAGAGCAGGCATTCACCCGGTCGCGAGCGCGTTAGCGCGCGCACACACATACCGATTCTAAAAAAACAAGTTCGGCCATTACAGTTTCGACCAAAAAGATGAATTGCAACAAAGCGTGCTTGTCCGCGTGCCTATGCACACTCTGGTCTGCGGTTCCAAATGGAGGTTGGGGGAAAACGGGAGAAGGGCGCCTGAGGAGGAGGGGCAGGGCAGATACGAAAGGGTCATCTCATGTGGATGCCTGAATTCAAAAGACCCTGGTAACAGAATCACTTCAGATGGAAGCTGAACCGGGTATTGAACTGCACCCAGGTTCAGCAGTGCCACTGCTCCGAAAGACAAGCGAAGTTTTCTACTTAAGGGTGAACACCGAATCTGCCTCTTCCGGTGTCATTGAGGTAACAGATGGCGTGAGGGGATTGCGTGTGATGAGTCGTATAAGATCGGCGGATGGAATAACCTCTATTTATAGTGCACAAAGCATCTGAGAAATGTTTTATTTTGGGGCGGGTGACGAGGACAAACGAGATTCGTTTTTGCTTGAAGTGCGATAAGGCCCTCGGTCGGTCAGTATTGAGAATCAGTATTTGATTTACTTTCAACAGGTAAGTAAGTAAGTAAGTAAGTAATCCAGGCATTGAGTAGAAACTGAAATAACACGTTTGAAAAAGTGGGACTGATTGTAAAAGTGACGGATCAGAATGGATCTTTGACACGATATGTTTCACAATGGGAGTAAAGTGACTGATCTGTGACCGATGCAAATCAATTTATGCAAGTTTTAATTCAATGGCAAATTCCAGTCGTTTATCATAACTCCAAAGGGAATTAGTGGAAAAGGGGTTGAGTTACCGATCATTTGGGAATTTCTGCCTTCCAATTCATTCTCTGCCAAGTTTCCGTCACCAATGCACATAGATCTCATCGTGCCCTAGGAACAGTGGGAATAAATGGATTTTTAGCAGCAATTTGACTAGCATACAAGCCAGTGAATTTAGAGATTTATATCTGTCTGATTGAAGCCAGTCACATTGTTTCCCACTAATGAGACGTTACCAGAAGTACAGTTTGAGCAAGCTGCTACTCACCGCAAGAGAAATGAATGCTCGTCTGTTTCGCATGGCGAAATAAAATATATTATTCAATGTACCGACGAATTACAAGGAAATTAGGGCTAGCAAAGAAAACGAATTTGAAAACCAAGTAGCACCGACGGAGGAACCAAGGTAGACATGTTTTGAATTAACCTCAAACGACTTCGATGACGAATGATAATTGTAGCAAATTCAGGGCACATAAGAATCGTGAATGCAACGTGGACATATCAGCAAATGCATTTTGAATGTATTATACCAAATAAATATGAAAACGTGGTTCTGGTTATACTCTCTTTCTGTGTTCGACAATTTTACAATGATGACATAGAATTAAACGAGGTGGTTTTGTTACACCAGGTATCAACAAAAGTATTATCAACATTAAAAACCGGTGATCAGAGAGTCTCATGTCAGGTCGCGGGAGCACAAGTTGCACAAATAGTGAAGAGTTGTGTGAGGTCATGGGGGAGAGAGAAAAGACGATGTGAAACGACGAAACCATCACATTATACTAGAAAAAAAACAACTACTGTGTCAGCGTTTAGATTGGAGGTCACTATTTGTCTTGTATTGCAAGATTCCGAATTTATTCCAACAATCAATTGCCAACCGGGCCTGTTACGCAGCCAAACTGAGAATCTTACGCAGGAAAAGAAGTATACCTATCATTTGGGTTACTAAATTTTCACCTCTACAAGACAAATTAGACTTGAATTCCAACGAGGTGCCACCAAGGTAGGTAGAAAATAAAGAAAATTATAATCGCGTTCTATAACACATTCTAAATTAGGTTCTACATGCGATTGCTACGTCGGCGACAATACAGGTGGTTACTGACCACGACCATGGATAAAAATGTAAAGCTTTTCAGTCCTCAAACGCCTGTCGATGTCACAACACTTGGTCCATCGAGAGGGAGATTATTCGAGTGATCGAGAATCACGCTATTGCTAAACGTAACCGAAGCGATTGCAATCAATCGGTAGAAAGACCAGATTTGTGTCAACAAAAGACTTGCTTATCACCTTACCGACCCTTTGGTCATTCACATCTGTCTATTTTGTATTGTCCCTAATCCTATGAAAACGTTAAATTTGTAAGCACCAGTTGAGATGGGGTAAAATACTCCGTGATCTTGGATCGTAAAATATTGCAACAAGGGGCACTCTGTTCACAGGAGAATAAGTCATTGCATAATTCTTCACTTACTTCCCACAATAACTCGAACGGTCATGTTGATTCGCGCATTTCGGTAGGATGATTGAGCCACACAGACGTAATCACCGGCATCCTGTTTTTGAACATACGGAATGATGAGTGTGCCTGATTCGACCTGGTTGGGAGGTCTGATTGGTTTCCAATCTGCTTCCCGGGGACCGGTTTTTCGAAACCAGTCCACCTTGAGCGTACCATAACCTCGTGCTTTACATGGGATTCGTCCTGGACTGTTCATCTCAAGGAAGTGTTCGCGCATTTCACGCAGGAACTGCAGTTTACCTGATAAAATTGTGAGGTGGAAATAGAGTAATAATTATCCTTAATAATAACAACTTTATTATCATTTATTTAGTCCAAACGGTATTTGATTGTTTAGGCCACCGTTACGAGAGCACGCCAATATTCCACATCTTAGATTGGTAGCCCTGTATTATCGCTTCGCCGCAAGGGTAGACAGCTTGATTGTGGCCTAACTCGACACCGCGTCTTATGCCCACTGTGGTCGAGAAGATGGCGCGTAGCACACAGCTTTATCTATTCTACTGTTCACCCCATTGAGGTGAGGGGCAATAAAAATTCAGTATCTACAGGTATCGTGATCGACTGAGGCGAACAAACAGTGACAAAATTCGATCAGGCGACAGTTGACGCACTAAGAACAATGAATGGTGTTATTTTCTAGTCGCCAAACCAGTGAAAAAATATTCGAAAATCCTGATGAGAGTAAGGTTGCTTTGTCGACCGAAGCACAGCTTATTTTACCCCATTAAAATTGGTCGATAGTTTTGGATGATTGAAGGAGGGGAATCAAAATCCTTAAAAGGTAAGTGAATTTACATGCTAAGTTGCCAAGACATTATTTGAATTATAAAAATGAACTTGACTGATGCTTGTCTGAATAGTTGTATGAAAAATACGACTTTTATTGAAAGCTTGATACNTTGATACTCTAAATTCATTGAATGAGCTTCATTACATACAACCCCCAAACACCTATTAGTTACTTTGAGGGATATCTTATCTATAATTCACACTCAGAGCATATTTGAGACGATTGTGCATGTCTGAGGGGAGTGCGGGTGACAGAATCAAAACAATAGATAAATCTGATGGACTGCTGTCATTCGGACACGGAAAAAAACGTACCTTTGACAACGATCTTCTGACCACGTCCAGCTGCCCGGTCCGGGTAACCATCGGTCTGCACAAAGCACTGATATTGACCCTGATCCTCGGGCTTTATTTGAGGGAAGCGCACGATTTGGCCGTCATTTTCAAACAACATCATCTGTTGTTAAGGTTGTTTTCGGTTTGGTAGCCCGAAGGTGCATGGTGACGAGGGAAAGAGAATAGGTGTACCGGGATAACCTTACTGACAATGTCCTTGGGCACGGTAATTTGTTTCGTAATGAGAATAAATGAGACTCGGCAACGACAAGACGTATCTGTTTCTCAGTTTTACGTTTTTTTAAGTACGTGCACGTCAGTAGCTTGTCAGTTTCGTAGCTCCACGAGAGACACTTTCAAACGAGAAGTGTTCTAAGTTACTTACGGACATAAAAGGTGAGAAGATATATTGGTTTTCCATATTGTAGTAGTTACGGGAAGCCAGTGGGAAGAAGCTTGTCCCTGTTTAATTCACGTCAACCGAACTTCAATGGTAGACACGCACGGGAGCTACAAAATGCAGTGTCTATGTGAAATGTGATGACTTGTTAGAGTCAAACACCTTCATATCCTGGCTCATGACATTATAAGCTCTGTCGAACTGCGTTTCTGGCGACTCATATTGCTTGTAAGGTTTTTCGCAATATCTATTGCACTCTGATAATACGTGGCACTCCAAACATTGGGTTATGGTGGCGCAGTGGCTCAGTCGCTGTCACAGACGTGCTTTGGACCATTGGTCCGAGGTTTGAGCACCGCCACCCAACTTTGGTGGTAGGCAGCTTTACCGTCGTCCTGTTCAGTACCACATATAACCTATCAGGGCTTTATGTGGTTCGCCACTTTAAGTCCCGGGGATTAGGTTACCGGTTTTCATCACTGAGCAGCAAGTCCTCGTGACTATGGAGCTTTTCCCGTCTGCTGTTCATCACACAAAAGTGTGTAATAAAAAATTGAAGTTCCTGGTGGAGGAACAAAAACAGTATATTTGAATAGGTTCTACTTACACTTTTGGTGTGCTTTTTCAGAACTCGTTCATCTTTCTCCCAATAGACCAAACTACCCGGGATTGAACGTCGCTTGACGCCACAATCCAATGTGACTGATTCATCCTCATCGACTGAATACTCCTCGCGGGAGGACGCATCGTAGAATTCCGGTGGAACTGTGGGCACAGTGGAATAGGGCAAAACAGAAAAAAAAATTACGAGTGAAAAGAATAAGAGCTTAGTATATTGTAAACCTCTAATTACGGTATAACAACTGGGTGAGAAAATAAAACTCAAATAAGTGAGATTGGGGGGGGAGAAGGGAGAGGTTTCACAATGACCCATTATTTAACATGGAGAATCACATTATCAGTGGTTGGAAAGGTTGAATCGCCGAAATTTTCTACCCATATAATTTGTGATTTGGCTGAACAAACCCAGTTCTCCATCCGAGTTTGAATGAATAGGAATCTGTTCAACTCCTTTGACTAACAGAATTCATTAAACTGAACAAAATAGGATAGGAAGATGACCGAATTCGAGTTGTCTCTATTAATGCAATCCTAACTGTACAAACATAGCACTAGCGATCCCATCTACTTCGGTTCAGAATCCAGAGGATTCCTAATGTGCATGATATTCGTCAACTGTTTATGAAGTCTTTCACTGGCAAGTGACACGTTGGATATGACTAATTACAATTACAAATATTACGCCGACACGAAACAACGCATCAGAATCCGATGCTTTCGAGTGTAACTAGGGTTCATTGCCTAATCGGAAAGTAAAAGCTACGAATCAAGCAAGCATTCATTCACGCCTTTTGAACTCGGTCGGAAATTGAATAAAACAAAAGAATTTAAAAATAATAATGACAAACACAAAGCATTTTATTTCATCGAAAGAAAACCCTGGCGTTTGGGTACACACTGAAATGACCATGAAACTTGACTGTGTTTCACTTGTCGAATGTCGTCGGTTGTGTGAATACATAGACTTCATTGATGATCGAATCTGAGGTAGAAGAGGCAGAGCAAATCTGTAAAGATAAATTCGAATACTTAAATCTGACAATCCAAAAGAGCATGGAACTAAACAATGCAATATCATCTGTGAACTCCATAGCAGACAGCAAGCCCCCTGTCGCTAGCCTCGAACGAGGACACAACGGTTTCTCGAATCATATCCATAACAAAACATGACAGGCACCGCTTTCTATGCTAAATTCCGGTGGGAAAGAGCCGAAAGCTCAGACTTGGCGACGGCATAGAACTAAACTTCACGGGGGTGACCTTGTTAAAGAGATAGTGCCACAGTACAGTATGGCCAACTTAGTTGAAGGTCGCTGTTGGATCAAGAACAGGGGGATCCATGAAAGAAATTTTAGTGTGGAAGAAATTAGTGAACGGTGACCGATTCACCTTCGATCCAAACTTTGGATCTCAAACGTACTCCGTTGGGGTGCGGCAAGCAATCGATCTAGTATAGTGTCAGTGAGAAACTTGAAAGTTTTGGTAATAAAACTCAGTCCCTTGTGGATCTATCCCTTTTGTGCAAAAAAGCGGGATAATATCCGATTCTTGTTCGCCTTCCCATGCTGAACTCAGGAATCTTATGAACTTCAAACTTAAGCCGGGTCCTTAAGTTCAAACGTGGATGGAGATAACCCACAGAGATTGAAAGTAACTTATCTCTCGAGTAACCTTCATTATGGAAAAATAACAGGCATCAATCATTGAACGTTGTCCAATTGAAGCATAAGTTAGCAGATCGAATAACGATCAAAGTCAGGTGAATCATGCCCAGAAATATTTTGACCATCGTTCCAGGCGGCCTTTGTTGAGCATGAATCGATATGCCGTCGGACGACTTAACTACCTCACGCTTAATTGCTAATCACTTTTGTTCCTTCTTAGACGGGAACGTTTACGACTGTTGCCAATACTTATCGTTTTCTCTGTCTCCTTCTGTTTTGCTACCTATCCCTTTTCGCGACCATTCTCCGGGTTCCTGATGAGCTGGTGTTTAAGGAGCTTCCGTAGTGTCATATTTTTCATCTGGAGAAACGATTTTCGAGCGTCCAACAGAACAACAGAGGTCAAGGAAATATATCGTTGCTGCGTCAGTTTGTGTTCAAGTCTGTCACTGTTTTATTCATTATTTATCGTTTCGGTTAAGTATATTTCTTAAAAAATCAGCATGGTTTAATCTCCAATACATCTATCTCGTCTACGTTGAATCTACGGTAAAATTAGCACGAATCAATGAGATCAGTTGTCAACGAAACTTTAATGAGTTTAATAAAGGACTGTAAACCAGTGTGTGTGTGTGTGTGTGTGTGTGTGTGTGTGAGTG